TTCCCTGCTGTTCTCTGTCAACGATGATGGCGGCTGTCGAACTCACCGTCGGCTCCCACAAGGCAACGTTGGAGTCTGCGCCAAAAGCAACGAGAAACAGAAAACCAGTGCCGCCCCCCCCCCCCCCCCCCCCCCCCCCCCCCCCCCCTTCAAAGGAAGGAAGAGAGAAGAAGAAGACTTGGTGTGTATATACACGTCTGCTGACGAGAGTCGCAGTGGAGGTCTGGAGATGCTCTTCTCCGATCAACGCCGTCACGACCTCCACATCCCCGCCAAGGACGGCAGCGGTAGCCCTACGACGGTCGGCTATCTGATCGACCATCTTTGCGACCATGTCATGACGGATACTCGAAAGGACTTTTTCGTCGTCGACGGACATCTGTAGGTTTTTTTTGTTTTTTTTTTTTAAAAAAAAGAAAAAATTTTTACTCCTTTTTTTTTTTCTCCTGCCTGCTGTCCTCTATACCCACTACACCCTCACGTCTCTGTTATATATACTCTCTTCCTCTCACTCTCATTTCTCACTCTCACTCTTATTCTCACTCTTATTCTCACTCTTATTCTCACTCTTATTCTCACTCTTATTCTCACTCTTTTCTTCTTCTTCTTGCTCACACACACCCCCTCCCCCTTCCCCCCTCTCCCTCTCTCGGGACGCACAGACGACCAGGTATTCTTGTCCTCATCAACGACGCAGACTGGGAATTAGAAGGTGAGGAGGCCTACGAGATCCAATCGAGAGACAGTATACTATTTGTCTCTACTCTACATGGGGGCTAGGGTTCTGTGCATGGCAGTCTGCAACATGTCTATCCTTTTTCTATTCTGTTCTTTTATCTTTTAAAAAAAAAATATTTTCCTTTTTCCACCAAACCTGATTTCTGCTCGTACCCTCCCCATCATCAATGTCCTGTGATGTCTTTTCAGAGATAGGGAAAAGAAAGAAGGAGAAGAATAGGAAAGGAAAGGAAAAGAAAAGAAGGAGAAAAAAAGAAGAGAGTCCAGAAAAGAAAGGCGGTCAAGTCCTACAAGGCAAAACCCCTGCAAGGCAAACCCCCTACAAGGAAACCGATATCAACTCTGCGACTCTGCGAGTCCCTAGAGATCATCCGAACCATCCTACGCCATCATGCATTGAATTCAACAAAAGGTGTCTTTTTCTTCTTCTTCTTTTTCTCTTCTTCTGAACATGTATAGAGGTGACGATTAACAAATGTACCTATCAAGAAAGAGGAAAAAAATGAAGAAGAATCGTCCCGTCGAGATGCATGCAGGTAGATAGATGATGATGCAACATGGCTTCTACCACCCACCCACCCACACACACACACACAGAGAGAGAGTCAGACAACCATCGAGCACTTGTCTCGGGCCGGCCGGGGTGACATGTCTTTGCATCTGTGAGCATCTGCATGACGCGTTAACACTCGATACCGCCTCTAATGCCTCTAATAGCAGTACTGTAGCATGTCATCACCGCCTTTATGTATGTGGATGTGAATGTAAAGTGTAGGCATGTAGGTAGGTAGAGAGCCTAGACACACATACATACACACACACACACACACATATATATATATATATTTATATATGTAGACAAGACACATACAAAGATGTATATATGCACATGTACTGAAAAGGAATATTCAGCTGCATGTGTCAGTATTCTCAAAAGAAGAATGTTCAACAAAAATTAAAGATTTTTTTCAATTTTTTTTTTCATAAAAAAAATCAATGTTTTCGTAATACTCAGTCATGGCGACCATGAGACAAAATCGAGTGAATCAAGTTCGGGTCAACAAGTAAAGCAAGTAAAAGCAATCTAGTCCATCGGACATAAGAATAAATAGATTCATGCCTCCCGAGGTATCTAATAAAAACCAAAATCCAGTAAAACTGTATCTATAAAAAAATAAGAAATAATAAAATAAAATAATAAAATAAAAATCCAAGTCAGTTGTTTTCGGTTTTCGGCTTCTTTTTTTTGTTTCTTCTTCTCTTCTTTTCTGTTCAAAATTTTTTGGTCTTTTATCCTTCTTCATTCTTATTTCTTTCATCCTAAATAATAAGACGAAAAAAAAAGAAGGAGAAAAAAGAAAAGCAATCGATATCCGTATAAACAGAAAAGAGGAAGAGGAAAAAGAAAAAGAAAAAAAAAACACCATACTTCAGCCTAGTATTTATAGACACCCTAGTAGACTGGTCTAAAATATTCCCCATATATGCTGTTCCTAAAGTCGTAAGAGTGTAATATAAAGAAGAGAAGAAGAGAGAGAAAAGAGAAGAAGGGGGCGGGGGAGAGGGAAAAAACGCCGGTTGATATAACCCAGAGCCTCGAGAGACGGAAAGAGAAAAAAAGAGACTTTTTTTCATGTATGTGTATGTATGTGTATGTTTGTCGAGAGAAGAAGAAAGCCTCCCCCCTCTCCGAGCCTAGGAAAATGAAACAGAAGAAGAGAGAAAAAGGGGGGCGGGAGACAAATGTAAGAGAGGGGAAAATCAACAGTAAAAAAAAGGAAAAAAGTCATTGATAGTACAGTTGGACTTGATGCCATGAGATTCATGACCCCCAAGTCATGGATCGCTTTTAGATATATATAAAAGAAAAGGGGCAGAAAGGCAGAAAGCAGGTGTCGTAAGAGCTCATAGTAGACGCGAAAGGGGAAGAAAAAAAAAGGGGGGGGGAAGAGAAGGGGAAGAAAGAAAGAAAGAAAAAAAAAAAAAAAGGTCGTCATGCTTTGAAAGCCATGCTTTAATAGAAGCGTTCGGAGAAAGCAATGTGGTGTCGACCGTGGTGGTGCTCGTCATAGAACATCGAAGACTCGTGCTTGAATAGATGCGCAGGGGCAGGATCAGGACCGGAACCGGAACCGTACGGACCACCGCCACCGTTCCGGGGGACGCTCTCCGATATGGGACCGGCGAGTTGAGGACCGTTGGACACGGTGTACAGCCTGTTGCCGTTGCTGCCGCCGTCCCTGTTCGAGGCTCGGTCGAAGACGGAAGAGGGAGAAGAGTCCATGATGGACCGGCGTGGCGAAGAGGTGGAGCCAGAAGAGGACGAAGAGGATGAAGAAGAGGAGGAGGAGGAAGTGCCCTTGCCGACACCGGCACCGGCAACCTTGCGAGCCTTCCCCCTCCCCTTGATACCCTTGTTGCTGTTCTTGTAGTGGAGCTTGAAGTAGGCAAAGATCTCACGGTACTCTTCCGGGACGTGGCCTTCCTTGTTGAACTTGACGAACTGCATCGTCAGCTCGTGGAGGGCTTCCTTGTGGAAGTTGTTCTGATGAGTCTGTGGAGAGAGGAGGACGTGTCAGCTGGGATTCGGGAGGAGAGGAAGAGAGAGAGAGAGAGAGAGAGATGCAGCCAGGGCTGGACAGACGTACCTTCATATTCCCAAGCTGGGAAAACTTCTTGTCGCATCCCTGAAGGAGGCACCGGTACGGCTTCTTCCCTTCGTGGGTCTCCTCGTGCGACTTGACGTTTCCCTTCTGCGCAAACGTCTTGTCGCACCTGCTGCACTTGTAAGGGCGTTCGCCGGTGTGGCGGCGCTCGTGCGTCTTGAGGTTCCCGAGCTGAGAAAAGGTCAGGTTGCAGCCGTCGAACTTGCAGGTCTGTCCGCGGTTTCACTCATGTTAGCTGGGCTGATGGTCATGCGCTGCTCCTCCCGGGGCTCCTCCCGGCCGGGGAGGTGGGACGTACATAGGGTCGGTTCCCGGTGTGGGTCCGCTTGTGGATATCGAGATGGGTCTTTTGGCTGAAACTCTTGTTGCAGCCCGGTCCGTTGCAGGTGTACTTCCTCGCCTTGCCCGAGCTGGTGAGCGAGGCGGCCGAGCCGGCAGAGCTGACCGGGCTGGAGCGGGCCGACACCTCGTCGACGACGGCGGCGGCCTTGGGCGGAGACGAGGGAGCCGGGGTGGGCGAGTTCGCGTGCGGGTGCGGGTGCGGGTGCGGGTCGTCGACGCCGTCGACCTGGATGGCCCTCATGAGCTGGTCGACGTCCGTATCGAACTCGACGCGGTGCTTGGGGTCGAGCGTGGCGTTGGCCGTGATGGTCTTGGAGTAGAGCGTGGGCGGGTTGATGGCCGCCGTCTCGGGCTTCTCCATCGACGTCTCCGATCCTCGCCTCGACAGCGGCGGCGACATGTGGCCGTCGCGGAGGAACGGCTTGAACTCTGAATCTCGGGAGGAAGAAGGAGGACCGCCAGCAGGAGGGGCAGGGGCAGGGGCAGGGGCAGGGGCAGTGGCAGTGGCAGGGGCGACGGCGGCGGCGGCTACGGCAGGGTTAGCCCGAGGCTGGTGCTGCTGGTGTGGTTGGTGGTGATGGTGATAGTCGGCCCTGCTGTACGGATATATCGAAGCGAGTGAAGCTAGGTGGTGCGGCGGTGGGTGCGCACCGTAGGATGGCGGAGCAAGAGAGTACGGATTCGAACCCTGCGCCGTTGCTGGTAGCGGCTGCGGTTGCGGTTGCGGCTGCGGCTGCGGCTGCTGGTGCTGGTTCTGGTGCTGCTGCTGCTGCTGCTGCTGCTGTTGCTGCTGCTGCTGAGGGTGGTGGTGGTGGTGGTGATGGTGGTGGTGAGGCGGCGGCGGCGGCGGCGGAGGCGGTGCTGTTGGTCCCTGATAGTGAGGGGTAGGAATCGGCTGGACCCCGGCAGGTGAGCTGTACGAGTTGGCGGGCACCATGTACTGAGGCGTCATGAATGAGCTGTTCATCATGTCGGAGCTCTGCTCGGGGCGCGAAGAGCCGTAGACCATGACGTTTCCGTTGTCGACCATGCTGTAGTCCTGAGGGACCTGCTGGTTCCATCTTCCCCAGTTGTGGTGACCTGCGGGCTGCGCAGCGAGAGCCATTGTTGTCGGTGTTTTCTTCTTCTTTCTTTCTTGTCTTCTCTCTCCTTTTCTTCTGTATCTTTGTTCTTAGTTGGATTGGTTTGGAGGACAGCTTCTTTTCGGGTGAGGATTGAGAGCGAGAGAGTCAAACTTGTAATATTTGGCGGTCGACAAGAGAGAGAGAGAGAGAGAGATAGATGGAGATAGATGGAGAGGTAGAGAAAGAGAGAGAGAGAGAGAGAGAGAGGGGTGGATGATGATGATGTTGTTGTTGTCAATGTATGTCCCCCCTTCCCAAGGTTGATGCTGTAAGCTTGAGAGCGGTGGTCCGAAGTTGCTGATATGTAGTGAGTGTGGATGTAGGTGTGAGGATGTTGATGTGGATGTGATGGTGAGTATGAGAGTGCAGATAGAGACGGAACAGAGGTGACGAAGCAGAGATACTATCAGCTCAGGAACGATGTGATGGATGATGGATGGATGAGAATGGTCGAAAAGAAAGCAGCGCAGAGGTCGGGAGACGTGGTGGGCGGAGGCGGCTGATTATGTAGGTCATCGACGGGAAGAGAGGAGGAGTCGGAGTCGGATAGAGAGTACAGGTAAATAAATATATAGAGAGAGGGAGTGAGCAGGAGGAGGAGGTAGTAGGAGGGAGGGGGGG